AATGCAGTTGCGGAAGCCCTACAAATCTGGATACAGTTTTACGGAGTTCCCGAGAGGATCACATCAGACGGTGGTAGAGAATTCGACAATACCGCGATTAGGGAGGAGGTGAAAAGGTTAGAGGTTGTGTGGCATTATAACACACCGGGACACCCTAAGAGTAGAGGAGGAATCGAACGCTTGCACAGCACGTTGAGTGACCACATCCGTGTATATCAGGGAGAGAAAGGGTTGGAGCCGGATGTTGCGATGAAGAAAGCCGTAACAGCTTACAACCATTCGATCCACTCCGTAACGGGGTTTTCACCTGTGGAAATACTATTCGGGATGCGCAGGCCAAGGAGAGATTGGGGGGAAACAACGACCAATGAACATCTCGTAGAGCAAATCCAGAATACCAGGGTAGAGGTAGGAAAGACGTGGGGGAAGGTAGCGGGGAGAATTCAGCGGGAAAAGGAGAAGCGGGTAGCGCGGCAGAATGTGCAGGTACGTGACCGAATGGGAGAATTAAAAATCGGAACAATAGTGTATCGTAGAATTGGAACCAACAGAGGGAAACAATTGTTACGGTACGAGGGCCCATTCAGAGTGGTTGCTATTAGGGAGCATAATCTGGTAACCATTGAAAGCATTAACGAACCTAAGAAGAGGAGAACTGTTCATATTGAACAATTGAAGCTCCCAATGTTAGAACCGGTACAGAAACCAATTGATTCGTAGTACCCTTATCGCGTATTATAAAAAAATATGTTTTTTTTTATTATTATTACTGTTGATGATGTCATTTTTTTTTATTATTTTTGTTGTTATTGTAAATAAAGATATGGCAGCATAATAGAGGTGATTGTAATTTTTATAGGATTAAGAGTTCTGTTCCATTGTTAATAAGATGTTGTGTGTTTACTTTCTGTGGTTTATTTCTTTTTATTTATTTCTCGTTCCAGCGGAGTGGAAGTGAGGTTTGGTGTACTTTAAGTTTATACTGGTACAAATAATTGTAAAGTGTTAAGGCTGATACCGGTGGCTCCGATCTGGGAATTTATAAGTTTCCGAAAATCCTATTCGTAAACTGGTGGGGGGGAGATAAAGACCGGAGACTGGCGATATCAGCCTTAATACCATCTTGTAATGTAAATAAACATAGCGATTGTATATAAGGCAGATTATTGGACGAATAAAGCAGTGTTTATTCCGAAGCCGTGAGTATTGTTTCTCGTTCCTCTTTCCTTCTTTTTTTTTATTTTTAAAGCCCGGAGACGCTTAACTTATATATATATATATATATATATATATATAATACTTGATATTTTAATTACATTGTCACCCACTATATCTCTGATATTATATTTTTATTTCATTGTCAGACAACTTCTTCATATTTCATATCTACTTATATTTATTTATTTTATTTTCACTATGTTTTGTATCTTTTGTAGCTCTGATGAAGACCTGCAAAGTGGGTCGAAACGTCGACAAAAAAATTAAATAATACTATTTCTATAATTTGGTATTTATTTGACAGCACCCCCCTCCCCCCCCCCCCCCCGATCAACTCCTTCCCATATTATATCACGGTCAACCATCTCTACATCATAATTTTAGTTTCAGTATAGAATATAGTTTACATTTTTAATAAGTAAGAAATTCATCAAAATTTAAATTTCTCAGAATTGCCTACAAATCAATTATATTTACAACATGTTATGGAATAGTAGTCCGTGGTACAGACCCCTTTTTATCGAATTATTAACATCCGCCTGAAACTTCATAAGTAGTTTCATCTCATCGTAACCTACAACTATTTTAAGTACGAAAACTCTTGGAATTTAGGCGTTTTCAATCTGAATGGGAGAAAACTTTGTCTATTTAATTAGGTACTAAAAATTCGTAAATACACATTTGAATTCCACTTGATTAAATTAATTTATATTGTATACTGGGGACACCCAGCTTCTATAAAGTGAGTACTGTTAATTAAGTAATAATTAAGGGGAAATCCTGGCTGTTGAGCGTGATCTCGGACTAATCACTTCCTGCACAACCGTTGACCAACCGTCTTTTAATTTTATATACACTTAAGACTTACCTGCTAACAATGCAGATTACTTGCGCTGGCAACACAATTCTCACTGAAAAAATAAGAATAACTTATTAAAATATGAAGACATAAACAAATTAAGTATTGTTCAAGAATATGAGTATCACCAACTCTAGATAAATCAACCTTATTTCTTTTTATTTTGTATGTAAAGATAATATTTCCGCTTAAAAAAAAATATTTTATGTCTCTCATAAAATTCGTAATATCATACATCATTTATAAAGAAAAATAAAACAGTCTTATTATTGAATATATATTTGAACCAAAATGAATGGCAGAAACGTTTGACATTTGAATAAAATTTAAATTAATGAATGACAATAAGTTAACTATTAAAATAATGATATACAAACATTTTAAATAACATTTTTTGATATTAATATGTTCAATAATAATTGGTATAGAATATCAATTTAAAAAAAAAATCGTAATTAATACCTTTTCAGCTCTTTCATATTTAAAAAAAAAATGTGGTGCGCGCAACACATAACTTTCACTTACCGATCTACTTTGAATAGAAATTATTTTCTGGCAATGATGGGCTATTATAAATTTTTTTGAAGTGCTTTTTAAAGGGAACTAAATCTTAAAGCTTACCGATAACAAGTCATTAAGACCATTATAATAACAAAATGTCTATTTAATATATAGAAGACATTCAATAAAAATCAATTCATATATCTGAGTTTATAAACCACAGAATGACTAGCTCCAATTTCAACATTTTTGAGTGATGTCATTTTAGTGATATTCTTAGTTGAAAAAGTTATCTATGCAGACAATGAGTAAGTTGATTCCAGGAGCCGTGATTGTAGTGTTGTAATATAGAATTGAGAATACAAGTATAAATTTAGGTACTACTTTCTTATGAAAGGTGTTCATAGGAAATACACTTTATTAAATATCTCTAGAAAAAAAGTTTTTTTAAGTCTCAACAATTAAGAAAATATATTTTATATTTATCCAAATTTCCATCTCTTCAGAGAAAATAACTAGAGACCATATCTTTCCTCCTAATTGTCCGATTTTAACGATTTTTTTTTTTGTTTTTTTAGGAAATTCCACAAACTTTTAAAAAACCATATACAATATCAACAGAAAAGCGTACACTTTTTGAGTTATTCGGAAATTAAATCTCGTAACTTTTTTTCCAGCTTCTTTTCGCTGAAGTATGTTATAAAGATAAATTTAAAGGGTATGGAGAAAATGACTTTAGAGAAGTTTCATTGAAATCGGTACATTCGTTTAGGCGCTACAGTCTGTAGGAACGCAGGTTTTTCCTCCTAATCGTCCGATTTTAACTATTTTTTTTTTTGTTTTTTTAAGAAATTCCATAAACTTTTAAAAAACCATATCGACAAAAAAGCGTATACTTTTTCAAGTTCAGCGTGTACTAATTCAAGACCTCAAAACATGTATTTCCGTTGAAAACTGAGATTGGAAAATTTTCACGATCGCAATACTTACCCTTACTATATATTACATATATACGTAAGTGAAAGTAATAAGTTAGCTCGTTCTGCCTCTTATCATTGAACAGTATAGGGATGCTGTAATTTTTTTTTTACTATTTAATATTTTTTTTTTCCACTTACGATGTAGTGCAATAAAGAAGACATTTAATGATGCATTTCCTCCCAATTTCAGGATATTTTAGAAACTCATAATTTACTTCAATCAGCAACTTTCATCTAAATAGAAAACTGTTACTTCGTCCCAGAATAAAGTTATTTTCTATTCTATTCTATTCTAAAAATTTTATTATGGTTTCTACTATATCTATATATATATATAGATATATATATATATATATATATATATATATATATATATATATATATATATATATATAAATAAATGAATGTATGTCTGTCTGTCCGTCTGTTTGTCCTTAGTGCATTACTAAACCATTCAACCGATCGCCATGAAACTTTGGGAAGTTGTTCCGTACACTCCTGGGAAGGTTTCTGGCATAGTACTTCTGTCTTACGATAATTTTATATATGTAAAAAAAATAAAAATGTAAATGTTTTTCTGTTCAAAGCCGCAAAAAATGTGTCGCTATAAACTGTAGCGCCAAAACGGCTTTACCGATTTTAACGAAACTTGGCTAAAGTCTTCCCCTTGAAACCCTTTTAATTTATGTGTATAACATACTTTCCCGAAAACAAGCTGAAAAATGTTACGATGAATTCAATATTTTATTTGACGATAACTAAAAAAGTACACAATTTTTGATGATAATACCCACATTTATTTGAAAGATTTCTGAATTGCTGACAAAATAAAAAAAAATCATCGAAATCGGACGGTTCGTTGCAGAGTTATAGAGTTTTAAACATTTACTGCTTTCTCTTCAGAAAAGGCCGTTTCCTTTTGCTTCCTCACTACCGAAGGTAGGCAAGCATTTTTTTTTTTTTTTTTTATTGATTAATCGAAAATTTTATAATTACTACAGTAATTGAAATTATCATTTGAAGAAGTTATATGATTCTCCTTATGTAGGTCAATACTATTATACGTTTTTTAAATTAATTTTTTAATTTAGTTTTATAAGTTCAACTCAGACTGTTTCTGATGATTATGAATGACGGCGTATTCACTCAGATGATTATGAATGTTCAATTTGAATCATGAGAAAAAAAATCATTAGAATTAGTTTAAATTGAAGCCATTTTACAAACAAATTTGTTTCCCAACTTTTTAAAAATGACAGATGTCCTTTGCTATTAATCTACTCATATGTGCTTTCTATTTTCATTCTTCTTCATTTTGCCAGGCTAAGCCACAGCAGCGCGTGGCCGGGTAAAGCTAGTATACGTATAACATTATCCAACATACTATACTTTAATTATGTATTTTAGTATGTATTATAATTATTTTATTGTTTTTGTCGCAGGCTCACCTGGTGGGACGAGCGGGAGCGTTGGGGACGAAGGCGTTGGAGCTGAGAAGCGTCGTGGACGTTGCAAGTGGTTCAACGTGGCCAAGGGGTGGGGCTTCATCACCCCTGACGACGGCGGCCAAGACATCTTCGTCCACCAGGTAATTATATTATATTATTAAAAAGCATATTATACTTCTTCTAAGAGTAAGAGCGTTAAGATATGGAAACTCGAAAGTTCATAAGCGGTGGGTATTACAGACACCCATAGTTTGACCATAATTAGTTGGCAGCTCGATGTTAAAAAAAACAACGGTACTTTTTGTCTAGGGGGCCGAATTGAAACCTCACTTCTTAAGGGGACCCTACACGGTCAATCGGAATTGCACTAATGACGTTCCGAATTGTCGTGTAAGGTAGTGAATGAAGTAATGATCGTGGTGCGCTGCGGATTTCCGAACATCCGGAAATCAAAGGTTCATTCACGAGAAGTGGAGGGGGGACTGAGGTAAAAATAGTGGGGAGACTAACCATACTGCTGGATAGGTTAGGTTACCTAGGCCTCACAACCATTATAAATTTCTGATTTTCATTATATGTAAATAGTTAAATAATTTTTCATATCCCTTGTTTATATTTTTAAACCATCTTCATATATTTCTTTTAAATAGTCAAGTGGGCAACAAATTAAAAAAAAAAAGAAGCGGAAACTTCACAATTTACTTTAAAGGGGACCCTACACGGTCAATCAGAATTGCACTAATGACGTTCCGAATTGTCGTGTAAGGTAGTGAATGAAGTACTGATGGTGGTGCGCTGCGGATTTCCGAACATCCAGAAATCAAAGGTTCATTCACGAGAAGTGGAGGGGGGACTGAGGTAAAAGTAGTGGGGAGACTAACCATACTGCTGGATAGGTTAGGTTACCTAGGCCTCACAACCATTATATGATTTTCATTATATGTAAATAGATAAATAATTTTTCATATCCCTTGTTTATAATTTTAAACCATCTTCAACTATTTCTTTTAAATAGTCAAGTGGGCAACAAATTAAAAAAAAAATGAGGAAACTTCACAATTTACTTTAAGAAAACTAAAAAAACTTTAACGTTGTGTATATTTATCAGTTCTTTTCCCATTTTCCTCAACAAATTTATTATTTTCGCAATACCTTTCCTCAATTTTTGTAAGTAGTAGACTTATATTTTACTAACTTTTGTCAAAACGATTTTCTATGAGACTAACCTTACTACTAGATAGGTTAGTTTACCTAGGTCTCGTTATTAAGTAAATAATTTCATAAAAGTAAATAGTTGTTTATATCCCTAGTCTATATTATTATTAACCATTTTCAACTATTTTTTCTTTAAATAGTCAAGTAGGCAATAAATTGGAGAGAAAAAAAAGTGGAAACTTCACAATTTACTTATAGAAAAAAAATCTTTAACTGTTGTGTTTATTTGCCATTAATTTTTACATTTTTCTTAACAAATTGATCATTTTCGCAATACTTTTCATAGATTTTTGTATGTAGTTGACTTATATTTTAGACTAACTTTGGTCTAAACGATTTTCAGGCACTAGGAAGTAATTATTATATCTCCATTTTTCTCTTGATGCCCAATATTATAAATGACATTGTCCAAATAAGTATATCTATGCTGTTTCTTTGTTTACAACTGAGCTAAATTGGTATCAGCAACGATAAGTAATGATCAGTAATGATTGAACGTGTAAGGGTCTTCATGATCAAAGCGATCGCGGGCAATCTTGGAACTTCTTGTGACGTTCATTCATGAATTACCGTGTAGGGTCTGCTTTATCTGTCTTATCTAACGTCACGTCACATAACCTCCCTCTTCTTATCCCGCCAAACCTTTGAGCTATTGCATTGTTTAGTTTTCAATTATTCCCTTATTACGTTCACTTTTTAAATTCTTTACTTTTGACCCGTTTGTGTTTATTTTTCATTATTTTTAGTTTTTGGCCCTTTTGTGTTTATTTTACTTCTTTTTTTTTAGTTTGTGGCTCCTTTGTGTTTATTTTTCATTTTTTTTTTCCGTTTATTTTCGTCATATTATGGATCTTCTCAGAATATGGGATCTGCCGTCTTCAGAAGAACAGGCAATTCAATATTTTCAAAATGTTGGGGTACTTGCCGACGTGAAATTGTGTGAACGAGGTCATCGAATGAAGTTAACCAGGAAGGCCAAATGGAGATGCTTTCGTAGGACTTGTGACACAAAACTTTCAATAAGGAAAGGAACATGGTTGGAGGGCTCGAGAATTCGTTTTTAACAGCTTTAAAATTGATTTATGGGAGATCCCAACACATAGAACGATTATGGAGCTCAGCGAAGTGAAGAAATAAAGTACATAGAGGAACTGCCAGACAACACCTCTATTCATATTTGTGCGAATTTTTGTGGCAGTGGATTCACAGAGAAGAGGACCCGTTCCTCGCTATTTTAAATAGCATAAAACAATTTTGCCTTTCAAAATAAATAAGACAAAAGGAAGTGAATAATTAAGTGAAAATAATTTGTACATATGTTGTTTATAGTGTTGATATTTTTTCTTTTCTATGTAAATATGTTCTTTTAAATGTGTTTTTTTATTATTTCATTTTGATGTTTTATATGTACATATCTTCTTAAAGTGTTTTTTTATTATTTCATTAATATATGAGTCGTCAAATAAAAGCATTTTTTTTTGTTATTACATTTGTTGTTGTATCTGTTTACACTTTCAATAATACGAAGATATGAAGTAGAAGGCGTTATTATCACTGCGTTATGGGAGTTATCAGTGTTCAGGTTTAGTGATCGGGTGTGACAGAGATTTTTCTGTCACAGCTCCGGCAGTGACAGCTCCGGGAAAATCACTGTGACAAATCACAGTGATTTGTCACTACAGTGATTTTTTTCCGGTGTCAATTATACAATGGCTCCTTGGCTGTTACTTATATATATATATATAAGTTTAAACATGTAAACCATAATTTCACAGTGATGCTTTCGCCAAGGAGCCATTGTATAATTGACACCGGAAAAAAATCACTGTAATGACAAATCACTGTGATTTGTCACAGTGATTTTCCCGGAGCTGTCACTGTCGGAACTGTGACAGAAAAATCTCTGTCACACCCCATCACTAAACCTAATATATATATATATATATATATATATATATATATATATATATATATATATATATACCACCTTTTTTTTTATTTATTTATGTTTTTTTATTATTTTTTTTTTTTGTTCTTCCCTACCTCGCCTTTTAGGCTATGCGGGATTTTCCCGGGCTGGGGGGTGAGGGCGGGGATTTAAAATCCCCTCCGGCACCGGGACGCGAACTCGTACTTTTTAAATCTTCTCAAATCCGGTTGCCAGGCAACTCGCGGTGCTGTTTTACGCCTTAGCCCATTCGGCCACCCCGCCCCCGTTTAAACTTATATTAAAATAATTGTTTTTTTTTCCTGTGATAAATTTTATATTTGATGGGGGAAAATATCTCTGGAATCTTTTGGTTTCTGTGTACAGCTCTGCAGAGAATATTTAATTTTTAATTAATTTTTTTATTTATATTTCAACAGTTAAATGAAAAACTTCCTGTTAATTATTTCAGGACAAAACTCATTCAGAAATATATGGCAATGAATGCTCAATTCATCTGAAGTTCAAAAAGTATTTTTAATAAAATTTGACGAATAACTATTATTTTAGAAATAATTATTTCATGATTATTTCTTTAATTCATTTATTAAATTAATGAAGTCAACAATGCCCAGATTGCTAGAACGAAAAAGAAGTGCTGTGATTTCAAAGCGCTTTTAGTGACCGTATCTGTTGGCGTACAGTGATTTCACAGCTCCAACAGTGACTGTCACACCTATAAGGGATATAGGGCCTTATAAAATACACGAAATGACACAAACTGTATCTTCCTAAATAATTTAGAACTCAAGTTATAAAATAAAAACATGTTAGGAGTTATTATTTATTTACTCTTTATAGGGTTGTTAAATCAAAAAGTTATTTATACGGTCTTGAAGAGGGATAACTCAGCTTTCTAACGGATGTAGAAACATTGAATTAAGATAAAATCCTGAGGAGTTATGAATGTTTTAGTTAACGGCATGCAAAAACATCATAATGAGAAGTGAGGTCGTTGCCATGACGACTATCTCAGCACAGCTCTTCTATCCTATATATTATTTCTAAAAAGGTATTTTTTTTTTTATCGGTACGCCATAACTTCGTCAATTCTTTATCGAATCCAATGATTGGCCATTCATTTTAAAGATATTCTTCTTCAGATGCGAAAAATAGTACCATCCCCCGAAATTTCTGGGAAAAAAGTTATGGAGGAAAAGAAATTTTATTTGCGAATAACTCAAAAAGTAAGCATTTTTTTTCTAGATTATACCCATGATAATTAAAAAAATTACTAAATTACCTACAAACCAAAAAAAATTTTTAAAAATCGATTAGAAATATGTAAAATGAAAGAAAAAAAGTGTGCAAAAGGCGCCTAAAGAAATTTTGTTAGTAAATATTTTGCAGTAATGTTGGAGGATTAGTGAAGAATAAAATTTTAATTTCAACTTAGCTTTAGGGCTTCACTCAACCATCGAATTTCTCTCGTATCCAATCCTTACAATCCAAAATCCTTCGTAAAACTTCAACGCTCCTTACTTTGTCACAAATAAAATCATCCATAATGACCTTAATGTTTCAGATCTGGCCCAATCCAGATACCTATCCTTCCATAACAAATTTCAGAACCATCCGAACCACGGGCGGATCTACGGGGGGGCTTTCGTGCTGAAGCCCCCCCCCCCCCAAAATGGAAAAATACAACCATGTTTTATGGAAAAAAAAATTTAAAAAATACATCTTAAAGTATTATTGTTCGTGTAATTACATTTAAAAGGACTTAAGGAATCACTTAAACACCATTTCATACAGGTAGTTAGTTTCTTTCTGTTTTTCAAAAGTAATTATCGTTATTTTTATGAAAAAATAAGGTTTCGGGCTGAAGCCCTCCCCCCCAAAATTAAATCCTGGGTCCGCTAGTGATCCGAACCCTCTCGTTTTAAATATTGCTTCCTCCTCGATCCCTGATAACCCTCCGAGACGTCTGAAAAGAAGATGGCCTCGTGATCTTCTTGTGTAAATTTATTATTAGAGTGTTACCAGTGGGTAGTTTCTTAACAGGCGATTTCATGTTATTATATTTCTGAGTGCACATTTACTAGATTTATATTTTATATATATATAATACAGTTGTAAATATCAATGAATAAAAAAAAAAAATAAAAAGTTTCAACTTAGAACCGATTGCACCAACAGTCGTGATTAAATGTAACATTTTCTACTAACTCTAAGTTAAAACTTAACCATAGCTGAAGTTTAGGCCATGTTGCACCAATACATTTTTAACCCAGTTTAGTTAACTATAACTAAAGTGTAAAGTCACATGTATTTTGGACATATTATTCGAAATTGTTTGGAAACTTCAATAACATAACACTTGAAAGTTTTAATAATTTAATTTTAAAATATTTTTTGTAATTTTATGAAACCATACTATGAACTGTTAAAAACTTCTATTTTTCAATTTTATTACACAAACTATGTAATTTCTACTCGATTTGACTGTCATTTAAAAACAGAAAACAAACAAGCCTTCAAAAAGCTACTAAATAAAATTGTCAACGCAAGGAATCTTGTTTAACAAGAGGTCACAAACCTTTATTTCTGAAGATCAGGCAACCTTTCATGGCAGTGAGGCTTTTATTGACAACCATAAACTAAAAATAAAAGTGTTGGTAAAAGCTCCCCATCCTAGGTATCTAAATTCTGTTTATTGATGTTAACAAAAGAGAAACAGTAAACTCCAGTTCCACTAACACTTTTCCAATTTTTAAAGTTTCTCTCTTTCCTCTCCTGTTTAATGTCCAAATAAAATGAATATCAAGTGTTTTTGCGGAGGGGATATAAGGGGCACCATTTATAGTAAATACTATGAGTAATATAAATCAAATGAACAGTGGATCAAAAAAGTATTGGCACACCTAACTATTTTCATGTTTCGTGAAAAAATCCAAAATTGATTAGTTAAACATTTTTATTTAATAAAAGATTTAAAAAAACATATACTTGGGGGGAAAATTAGATTTACTTAATTACAAAATCACAGCTCGAAAAATCACTTTAACCAAGTATTGGCACACTTTAATTTGAGGGTTATTTCACGTACTGGATATGTATTAATATTTTGTCATCATACCATTGGTTTCTATGACACGGTGGAATCTTCTTGGCATAGTCAAAACAAGATTTTGAGTTAACTCTAGTCCATTTTACGCTATTTCTCTGACTAATTTATAATTTTTATAATTAATGGTTTTATCTATATTTTTTTAATATATTGATTGCTTCTAATTTTTTTTTTTTTCTTGTGTGTTACTATTTAACTGTCTAATACTATAATATTAGTGACTGATATCCCTGCACTGTTTCATTTTTTTTAGTGTTGTTTGATTTTATACCATATTATGAGTCAATAAGAAATTTAACATTTGAAAATAGGAAAAAGATATAATAAAAGTTTTATTACAAAATTTTTCAAAAATAAATAATGCATTGAATGATGAACCTAATAAGTGAATACAAATAAAAATGAAAATAATAGTTTAATCAATCAATTAAAACAAAACAGATGTTTTCAATTTATTTATTTGCAGGGCCTCATATCAAAGACGGACATCTGTTATTTTCTAAAAATGGAGAAAAAACAAATTTTTCTTTTTATAGATTCAATTCAAACTGTTTCTGATGATTTTATTTAAGAATATTCAAGTTTTTTTTTTTCCTCACTGAAGCCTCTTGACTTATTTGACTTCCGCCATTGGTCTTCCAGCAGCTACGGAGCTGTTCTAAGCTACAGCTGTGATTGTTTGGTTCTCTTATATAGATATCCAGAGATTATGTGGTTTATAATAACTGAATGCAATCACGCTTATTTCCTCTTCATCAGGATGGTTGGCAATCTTTTGCAGACATCTCGATCCTGTTGTTTTTTTATGGGATAGGGTTAATGGCCCTGTGCCCAACCCCCAATCTGGAGGACCAGTAGCGATGTTGTAAGACACAGGAGTCGCTTACCTTTGAATCTCAGGATAAGGATGATACCGTCCCCGTGCGGGAATCGAACCGTAGTGGTCTAAGCAATCGAGTAGGGACCCCACTTATTTATTTTAATTATTTTTTATATGTTCTGTTGATTTAAATCCTGAAAATGGTATTTAAACTTGTAGCATAAAGTTTTTGCTGGCTCCTTAACTCGCTCGAGCATCGCAGCTTCAGAATATTCAAGTTCAATGATGAAAAAAATTATTAGAATTGGTGTAAATTGAAGTTATTTTTAAGCCACTCATAACCCAAAACTAAAACAATAAATCCTTTCTTGATTCAAATTAGTTCTTTCCTTTTTTCCTAATTGTTTCATATGTATATATATATATTATATATATATATATATATTATATATATATATATATATATAATATATATATATATATATATATATATATATAAATATATATATATATATATATATATACATATATACAATTAGGCTTAACAATAACTTCAATTTAGACCAATTCTCATGATTTTTATAAATATATATTGTTATTATTTAATATTGTATAGAAATTAGATTAAAAAAAAAAAAAAAAAAAAAAAGTAACTTTAAAACAGTCAAATGGCATGAAATATCTTAAACACATTCGACCACAATGAAAAGAGCTTCAATATTATTCTTTGTACTAATAATATTATTTCATTGATTTTTTTCAGAGTGTTATTCAGATGACTGGGTTCCGTTCACTAGGAGACGATGAAGAAGTTGAGTTTGAGTGCAAAACATCTGATAAAGGTCTCGAGGCAACTTTAGTGACAGGACCTGAAGGTAGCGATTGCGCTGGCTCACACAGAAGACCTCAAGCTCGTAAAAGATTCAGAAAAATAAGGTATAACAGAAATATTAAAATTAACTGATATTTTTAATTATTTGTATGAGAAATATGATAAAATTTTATTTATAAGTGCCCACCCAATGATTGAAATTTGTTCATAATCATTATTGAATATTGGAAGAAAAAATAAATAAATTTGATATTGATTACTTAATATTTGACCATTGTGTATTTGAGAGGAAGATGGTCCGTGGTGGCAAACTTAAATAAATAGACTAAAATAGTGGAGAAACTATTTTATCTCAAATAAATGGCTTGAAATAAAATATTTTGTCTGCTACTTAAGTCTATTTATGACCGCCACCCCGGACCTTTTCCTTCCTCATAAATAAATTTGCATTTTTCCAACATTCTTTTTTACTCGTGTGTATTCATACATTCATATTTATATGTACCTTAAAAAAAAAAAAAAATAGTGCTGTATCATTGATGTACTTTTTGAGTTATATGCAAATAGAAATTTTAATCCAATGTAACTTTTTTTCAAAAATATATTTGAACCCACTATATTGTGTTTATGTAGCAACAAATTTTGTCAACAAAAATTTAGCTCCATGAAAAATGTACTTAATGACTTTTTACAATAAACTGACATTATATTTGTAATGAAATCACAAAGGATACTGTTTTATCATCACTTAGTTATTAAATCAGCACTTTAATTAAAAAAGAAAATTTTCTTATTAATTGAATCAGGAGAAGATCTGGGTAGGGGTCATAAAAATACTAAAATATTGAAAAAAATATTTTATTTTAGGCCAACGTTTCGACCCGAGTTAGAGTTTCAACCAAAAATCCGTGTTGCATACACCCTCCTGAAGAAAACCTACAAAGTCCGGCGGAAATGTTGGCTTAAAATAAAATATTTTTTTCAATAATTTATTCTTTTTATAACCACCACTCTGCAAGATCTCATTACTCAATAATATACAACAGTCAACCATCAGGTATTCAATATGATTTTGGAATGTTCGGTTTTGAGTATTTATTTAAGGTTTTTTTTTTCCATTTGTTAATGTTAGTTTGATCCAGGCAATTTTAATCGCAATTTAAAATACTCTTGTTATTTCAAGCCTTAAAAAAACTATTAGGTATAGGCTGTTTTAATTTTAAACAATTTTTCATTTAATTATGTTTGAGTAGATGAAAAATAAAAAATAAATAAGTAAAATGTAACAAGATGATTGTAGCTGCAGTGGTCGAGTGAGTTAAGGTGCCTACAAAAATTTTAAATCAATTGTTCAAATCCTGTACGCCGAAATTAAAAATACGAAAAAAATTATAAAAAAATAAATAAAATAATTTATAATAAATTAAAATTAATAAGTGCAAACCCTTCACAATTACTTAGACCACTGCGGTGCGGGATCCATTCCTGCACATGGAGACAGTAACGTCCCCACTCTGACATTCATAGGTAAGTGAGCAATCCCTGTCTTATACCATAGCTCCTGGTCCTCCAGGTTGAGTATAGGTCTGATAATCCCCTATCCCATTAAAAAAAACATGGGTGGAACATTGAAGCAAAAGATTACAATCATCCTTCAGTTCCATCCAAGAAAGTTCCTGATGAAGAGGGAACGAAATGTGATCGTGTCCGGTTAGTAAACCATGTGCTCGTATCCATGTGCTAGTAGGTAGTAGCTAGTAGGTGCTCGTAGAAGAGAGAACCAACTATGACCACTACTGTCACCTATAACAGCCTAAAGCTGCTGAAGAAGACTCATGACTTAAATGACGAAGTCAGCAGGCGTAGGAAAAAAAAAAAAGAAGAGGAATGTTATCATCAAAACTGTTCTCCGATATAATAATATAATCTAGAATCACAGTACTACAAACAGCTTCACTGCTTCAGGAGCGGTCACAAAGGAGCATTATATAAATGACATCATACACTTCTGCCGAGCAGTGCCAACAAAATATGCTCCTTTCTATTCCATTAAACAGTACTTAACTACTAACAGTACGTGCGGTGGGTAGTACCAGTGAAATAGTACCTAAATATGAATTTCTCTTAGCAGTGATGTGTATTTGATAATTGGTAATTTTTTTTTAACAAAATAAAACAAAGTTATTTACTATATGTACAAAAATGAATAAATATTTCTATCTATATTAATTCTTATCATAATTTTTTTTCAGATGCTATAACTGCGGTGAATTTGCTAATCATATTGCTGCAAAATGCTCACTTGGACCGCAACCGAAGCGTTGTCATTCTTGCAAATCTGAAGACCATCTAATAGCTGACTGTCCAACAAGAAAACCAAGACCATCCGGTGGTCCGGGAGAAGAAGCAACAATCGGCGCAGCAAGTTCAGAAGCCATTGTTTCTGGAGTGGCTTCCATGTCTCTCAATAATGGCCAAGGAGAAAACTAGTCTCCTTAATGTATAAATCTCCTCTTTCTTGAATTGGAACTTTAGTTTCTGTCTTCCATTATACATCTTAATAAAGCAAGTCAGCCATTGCTTGTAATTGTCTTTACTTCCAAATGTCATGAGAATAGCAGGAAAGTAAAGTAAAATATTTTTTATTGGAAATAAATTTATCTATTAATGATAATAAATTAGGAAAATTATCTCTGCTAATCTTGTAACGGAAGTAAAAACGGTTAAATGAGTTTTTCTTTTGTTTTTATTAGTTTACTTTTACAATTCTTTAGTAAATCTATAACTATAATTCAATTTAACTATATTCATTTTTTAAAAAATTTAACATGAAATTCATTTATTTTATATAATTTAGGACCATTTGTAACTATCGTACAAAATACTGTAAAGAAGTTAGCACAATTTTAATCGTCCTAATTACATGATTATGAAACTTAGATAGAAATATATGCTTAGCATATATAATACGAATCAATAGAAATATTGGGAATACATTTTCCAATATATCTTTTATAACAATTGTTTACCTCACTTTTAGGAAAATTATCTTTCCAAGTGCCTAACTATTTTAAGTAAGAACTTTTATAAGACTGAATTTCAATAAGCCAATTAAAAAATAAATAAATGAACTGTAATCATTAAGGTGTAATATTATAAGTTATAGATCTTATTATAAGTTTAGGGTATTGTATAAAATTTTGGAGTATTACTTTAAATATATCATTCAGGAGTCTTGATTACTACAATTTGGAGTTCAAACTACATCAAAACTACATTCAATCGGAGTTTTTTATTTTTTTGGTGCAATTATAACAACGGGGTATTACAACTGATTTTTGGAGTTATTACAGCCTCGAAAATTTTCGAGATATGTATTCCTAAACCCGAATTAAGAAAAACAAGAGCTGTAATTCTAGTAAGAGCTGTGAATCTAAAGAAACTTTATAAAAATTTTAAACTCCTTTAATTAGTTTATGAAATTATATTGTGTCACAGTAATTATTCTAAAACTGTGACAAAAAACTCAAAGGTGTGTATTTTTATTTTTCTATTGTTTTGCTTTTTAATTTGTAGAAAAATAAATAAAATATTTTTAAAAACAAATAGGTAAATTTACCAATTAGATAAATTAACCACTCCAAACTCCTGTTTGATGTACTTAATTTGTTTTATATGTATTTTGTGCTCTCTGGAAATATGTATTGTTGGAGAGCATATTTGGAAAATTATTGTTAGTTTATTTTGAATGAATATCATAATATTTCTGTGTAGTAAAATTATATAAACAAAATTTATGAATTGCAAGCTTTTTAGTTTTCGAGTGTGAAAATTTATTATATTATTTCTTTCAAAAAATTCTGATTTATTTTTAAGTGGATATATATATATATATATATATATATATATATATATATATATATATATGTATATATACTATATATATATGTATATATATATATATATATATATATATATATATATAATATATACATATAATTCTGGGTAAATGAAGTATAATATATTAATGAAAATTGGTTTAGTTCCATAGTAATGTAGTTAATGTTTCACAGATTATATATTCAGGGATTATTAGTAGGAATTTCTTTATATATATATATATATATATATATATATTTTTCTTTCTTACTATTTACTTAATTAAATATCACTAATGAGCAAATATGTTCCTATGCCTATATAACATAGCTTAGTTGGTTTTTCCGACTACTAATTGGAGTGCTACGTTATATGCTCATTACTTTTATTTTTTAATCTCTATATTCATTTATTTTAATTTTAGGGATATTCCATTCCTCGTTTTTATAAACTAATTTAAGTACAAATTATTTTATGTGTTTTATTTTAGCTTTTAAGTTATGTTGGTGTATTTGTATGTAGAGCCAAATGAAAAAGTAGATAAATTTTCATCTATGGCTTCTTTTTTTTAATATGTCAAAAAAATTCTATTCGTGAGAAATATTTAAAAATTATTACGATCCAGAATAGATTCCTATCTATTCCATATCTGTTTATAATGTTCATATCACACATCCAAAATGAAAGGGGCTTATATATATATTTTTTTTTAGTTGGAACACCTAATTCCGAATTGCAAACCTCAAATATTAAGTTAAAATAGTACACCTATAGGTAGAGATGTTTTTATTATGGTATTTTTAAATATGAATTTTATCTAAAACACTTTTGGAAAAGTAACTCCCCCTTCATTCTGAATATGTGATATAAACTGTACAGCAATCTCCCACTTAGTTATAACGATGATGGTTAAAATTCGAAAATTTTAAACCTACCTTTGATTCTAGTGTAAATAAAATTTTGAAGGATTGTTTTTCTGTCAATACAACTTTAGAAATAGTATATCTGGTGTGAAGATTAACAGTTAAAAATACCGTGAATGACAAAAATATAGCTGAATTTTTATTATAAACTATGATGACAACGGTAATGAAACGGTTCTGACTTATTTTAAAATATGTTGGTTGTGATAAACATTAAATCAAATTTAGACAAGAAAAGATTGATTAATTATATTGATGGTGGATTGCTTTCCATTCATTGATTAATATTTTTTAACATTTCACAATTATTTCAGCAAATATTCAAATTATAAACGAAATTCAACTTTTGCTGTATCAATTGATTATTTGAGCTGGATTATACAGAAACCTAAAATGACCGAAGAATGTATTTGCACACCACATTTTTTTTTATTAAATTATGAATTTACACAATAAAAAAAACCTATTACTTCAAAAATAAGAAGTATATTGACAACTTAATAACTACAAATAAAATTCAAATGGAAAACTTCTTTCCATAAAAAAACAAAACAAAAGTACGTTAGCATCTATTACCGCTTGTAAAAGTCTCGGCATTGAGTGGATGAGGTTTTCAATTAAATCCGTGTTAACTTGTTCCCATTCTTCCTGTAAAAGATCCTTAGTGTCTTCCGGTTATTTGGTATTTTCGAACATTTTTATGTAAAATATGTCACAAATTTTATTATTATTTAAATTTATTATATAAAGAATCAACAAGGTGTACAAATACTTTCTTTGGTCACTGTACCTAACATTAAAAATATCAATTATGAGATAAATGTAAATGTTTCATTTGAAACTAAATTCAGCTTAAAATAAAAAATAAATTTAATTTACCATAAATTGTTTATGGTAATTTCTGCATTATTTCATTAAATTAAAACAAATAATTTTCTGAAAATTGTATCTAATTTATTTTTTTTCATTTTGTACATTGGTAGGTTTCTGTATTATGTTGCTCATTTTTTAGTTGTATTAAATGTATAAGGTATATCAGAATATAAAAGATAAACGAACAATAATAAGTAATAACCTTTCTTAAAGATAATAAAGAAATATTTAAACATATTCAGCAATAACCCTGTGATTATAGTAAATACTTTATAATGTACTTCACTAAATAACACTCTGCATGTTTCTGCTGCATATGCAGAAACATTCATAGCGTTGTATTTATATAGCTAATTGTTAACATTTTTAATTATTGATACTAGTTATACCATAGTGATTTAACTCACAGCAATAGTTTAAGAAATTACTAGTTATAAAACAGTTGGAAATAACTGGTACATTATTATATTTTTAACTCCAATTAATACTTGCTCAAGTAAATATATCTATTGCCTAAATCTCAATAATATACAAAACCAACTGTGGGTTAAATCATTATAGAATAACATATCTTGCAACTTTTCATAACTTAGAAAATTTTAGTGCAAAAGAGGTTTCCATTTGTCTTTTTGTATTATTATCAATTCTGTTTTATTATACCAGTTGCATTACTTTTTTTTTAATTTTTGTTTGTTTGTTTTTGCAAGTGCATATTATTATTATAATTATTTTGGCTCTATATCGATATCCATACATTTACTGTACTGCATATATCTACCTCATAGAAATACACTACCTCAGTCTAGTTGGAAGTTCAGCTCAGCAGGAATTTCTTTCTTTGAACTTTTAAGCTATACGTAACTGAAAGACTGTTTATTAGTACAATTGTACATATTTTATTCTTATTTTTGTTTCAAATTATTTGTTTGTTTTTTTAGTTATTTTAAGTTAATTGGTTAATGCTCAGGGTAATTTTTATAACATCGATTGTGTTTTATTTTTTCATGAATAATACAATATCAATATATATATATAAAAACAATAATGTTTAATTTGTGTAACCTCATATCTCGCTTTTTATCCATATGACCTAAACTTGTATCTTCTTTGCAATTTCTCACTTATTATTATAATTTTTTTGCTATAATGAAAAGCATTTAGTGAAGAAAAGTTTATGGAATGTGGGATAATGTAGTCAAATTTAAAAAAAAAAATTCTCACAAATCTGCGTTCAAAAATAGAGTTTTGTAAACAATTGTATGTCAAATTGTTAATGAGATGTATTACTGTGTTGTATAAATGTGGTGATTATGATAATGATGAATTATATCCTTATAAAATACAGAAATTGGTTTAACCCCTGAATATACATTGTGTATTTTTTTCATATTATTTCACTTGAAATACATTTTATTTCTTAGGGTGGGCTTACACATGTTTATTATGATACACAAACTGGTTAGTCTATGTTATGCTGAAGCTATTTATTTCTACAAAGTCTGTTATAACCCTTTTAAACAGCGTTTGAAATCAATAATTAAAAAAATAAAACTAAAAATCAAATCTGATCAAAATTATTATCTGGAATTTGTAAAAATCATTTGATGATTTTTATTTTTGGTCATAAGTGATAAAAATCATATCCTGGCCATTATTTTTGAACAAATTTTTTACAATTAACAATAATAACAAATCTTGAGTAATACATTTTTAAATCAGAAATATAAATTTTCTGTAATCACCATGGTATATTTTGAGTAATAGCAACAGAACATCTTTATTTCCTAAATTTATTAGAACTTTTGGCTTACAGAGTATAAATATATGGGTGTCCATAAATAGAGGGAAACAGTTATCTTGTTATTTAAAGTGTTGTTGTTATTTATATTTCTTATTATTAAATTACTATATTATTATTATTATATTTATATTTCTTATTAATATATATATATATATTAATAAGAAACAGGCAAAAAAGAGGCAACACCAAATATATTTATATTTCTTATTATACGAGAGTCTAATTTCATATGAAGATAGGGATTATCAGTGCCTTATAACAATTATCAGTGTTCAGGTTATAAACATTTAATAATAAGAAATATTAATAACAACAACAACACTTTAAATAAGAAGATAACTGCAGATAGCAGTCCATAGAGCCCGCGTCGCTCACAAGTACCAAAAAGTTAATAGCAGGCATAAAGATCTACAAAAAAGTTTATATAAACAATTTCCCAATTTCCAGCAGAAAAATAGGAAATTCAAGATTTGTGATTTTTTAAGTTAGTCACGTTTTTTGTTGAACAGGAAGCGATAACTAATAAAATACTTGATTTAAGTAATTATCAATTGGGTTACAATGAACAAAACACAGTTTATTTTAAACGGAAGTAGAGTTTGTCAATGTTGAAACCATTTCAAGAGGACTATGGAACTGCAGAACTCAGCTATGTTTTGTTAAATAACAAATCATAAATTATTTATGATTTTCACCCTCAAAATATACTACAATTACTCCAATTTTACAAAAACTTTCTCAATTAATTAACTTAAAGTCCATATAAATTAACTTGAGATTTATCCGGAAAAACTTGAGATTCAACTCAAGTTGTATACAAAAATGATGTGATTTTATAACTCGCCAACTAAAAGAACCCGTGTTTTCATAAAAAATTACTGCAATAAATTATTGCAAAACTTTAATTCCTTCCTTTTTTTTTTTTTTTTTTGATGACCTGGGATGTATAATAACATATATAAATGCATAAATACACTTTTTATTTCTTATAAAAACAAAGTTTTTTTTAAATTTATTTATTCATGATATTTAGTAAATAGCTAAATGCCTAAGTTGCAAATCCTTATGTAATAAGTGATGGATTGCTCACCTCTTCCACATTCACATATAGGAATTGGATCAATTCTAAATCTTTTGAAGTGAAAACTTCTTAGGGCTCGGGTAAAGTCGGCTGGAGTCGACTAATAAAATTGTTTTTATATATGGATTAAATAACTCAAAAATTAAAAATTGGACTTACGTACTGTAAGCGAGGGAATTTTTCAACATCTTATCCTCTCTGTAATGGACTATTATTCAAAATTATATCTTAATGCAACACCGTGTTAAAGAGGTGAAAAGAAAAATAGAGACGAAAACTAAATGATTAAGATTTTTTATGGAAGTTTGGGCACACTGCTCTACA